ATCGAGGGTCTCAATTCGATGGCCGATCTACGAAGGAGGCATTGGTGATGTCAAATGGAAACTTTTCTTTTTAGGCATGGGAACTAATTACCAACAAGAAGAAAATAAACACCAAACATATGAAGGAGAATATAATTATCAGCAAAGCATTCATGTATAACCGAGGTTTGTTATACCAAAATCCCACAAAAAGAAAGAAAGAAAAAACTAAAACCAAACATCTAGAAACAAAACATACGAGAGTTCTTTGTTTATCGAAGCCTATTTCTTAATAAAAGCAGGGTACTTCTTCTACCAGCTAGTTCCTCCTCCCACCAACTTAGTCTTCCACTATTGTTTCAGTCCTTATGAGCTCTCTGCACAAAAAAATTTAAAAGAAAAAAAGAACAATCAGTAAATCCAGAACCCAGCTGAGTTGAGGACAAAGAAGAGCAGCAAGCCAATGTATTTGGTTTGTAGAAGGCTGTGTTCCCTGCAATACGGTGTGTTAATATTTGAGTCAAGTTTTGGTTTTGAACTCTTGAAAACATAAATTCGGAAACTTCTCATCCATTTGCATTAGTTAGGAGTCCTAATCCAGTTAGTCAAGATGAAATACAACATTTAAGGTTAATTCAGTTGGCAATGAGGTACATTCTCTAACTTAATGATTTGGTTTCGATTTTTGTAGTTAGGTATTGCTTTTGGGAAAAGAATTCTAAATATACCAAACTGATGCAAGTAATATATCGTAAAGAGAAGAATATTAAAACTTGAATTTTAGAAAGTTAACAAAAAAGTACCTTTACCACTAAAAATTTAGAAAAAGAGATCCTACAATTTGACAGAAATTGTTTTTTTTTGTAGACAAATCTATAGAGTTTTAGAATGAGAATCTCTCTCTAGTATATCACTTTTGAAGGACAGATATTCTCGACATTAGAGTATAAAAGAACACATATAAAAAGACAAACATATAAAAGTCTCCCCAGTTCTCATTTCTTTCTCCAAACTCTCTTCCTAAAATTATATTAATTCTTAGATTTTGCATGGTCGAAATCTAAGAATAAATAAAATAAACGAAGTTAGGAAAAACAGAATAAACAAAGTTACTAACAAAGTATTTCTCCCAACCCTTGTCTCTAATTTCCCCAAAGAAAAAAGAAAAAGAAAAACAATTCTGGATTCACAGAACTTTTCTCTTACCTTGGAAGGAGGTTGATACAGAAACCCGAAATCTGGAGATAACATTAATGGTTTGGTCTCAGATTGT